AATCATTTTTAAAGTACCAGCCGGTATTTTTCTGGTTTTTTTGAGGTTTAATTTTAAAACATAGCCGTGTGATCTGCTCCTGTGGCCTTGAAAATTAGCAGCAAAATATCCACTAGATGCTAGACAGGATCGAGACCTTCTTCTTTCATGTTCCATGCCTTATGAAAGTCAGCACGTCGTATCTCACTTCCGTGGAGCCATTTTACCTCACCAGCTATAAATATCTGCTAAATACAAGCAGTTCACAATTGCTTGGTGCACCACGCTAAGTAGCAGGACGTAATTCCACGTATCTCTTTAGAATGAAAAATCGAAGCCTTTTATTCTTATTTTGAGACATTTTCTAGGAAGATTAAACATATACTCAAGCAATAAATCCTTTGAAAAGCCATAGGAAGACCCAGTTCTCAGCAAAGCAACATATGTAGCCCTTACAGGAGCAGAGACCAGACCGTAGGCAACATGATTTTTAAAAATACAGCACAGCTGAAAAAACCCATGTTCTCAATACGTGCACTGAGAGAGCTGTTTTCAAATGAACAGAGAAGGAAAAAAAACACCCTCTTGTGAAAGAGTCAAGTGTTTATTTTGAAATAACGGTTACTTTAAACACAAGCAGTTGTATTCCCATCATCCAAGATTAAGTTTGCATTACTATTATGCTATTTCTTTAAAATATTTGAAGGTGTTTACATGTTAATAAATAAAGAGCAGATATCAGTAATTATAAAAAAAGTATAAAAAAAAGTATTCTTAGATTTATTTTAATGTTAACCTTCAACAAATAATCCTGGTAAAGCCAAACTAAGATTTTAAATTAAACACGAATTACTTTATGTGCTTGGGCTGTAGCCATCAAAATGGTCTTTTTTTGATGGAGGGTACTCAAGCATCTTTAAAAAAATAATAAAAAAAAAAATCACATTAAAACACTTCCTGACTTAAAACTTCAACTTAACCAGTTCCAGAATGGGGGAACTAGAAAGGATTTTTTAATTTATTTTTTATTTTTTTTAAAGTATTGCTACTACCACCTAATCTGTGTAAAAAGCTTGCAGGTGGGACTTACTGCATTCGATGCACCTGGGGTGGGTGTGGACAGCAAGGGGAGGAAATTAAAGCAGGAGTGTCAATAAAATGAGCGAAAAAGGAAAAACAAACCTACCACAGCAAGTTGGTTAGCTCTGGAGGAAAGGGTTGGGAAGATCTTACTCAGAAGGTAAGTGTTGCTAATTAGAAAAATGGCATTTTCTTAGTGTGTTAGACCTTCTAGCAATGTAGGAGCTGGGGATTTTATCATGACTTGGCTGCTCGGAGGAGTCAGGAGCCCAAGGCTCAATTTACAAAGCCAAAGCTGAGCAGCAAAATCCTGCTGGGAGAGGTGTGGCCCGTGGTGCTTGTTGGGGCGATGGGGACGGGACAGGCGTCTTCATGTAGGTGGTGTGTGGGGAGGAAAAAAACCCACTTTTTGACCAGCGAGCATGATTCCTGAGGTGTCTGTGTCACGGTCTGTAACACAGAAAAGTTAGTGTTGCTTTTTGGAAGGCGTAACTGAATGGTAGAGTGCAATGGAGAAGACCTGCAGCTCTTCTCCCCCAGGTGAGAGGAGTGCTGAGAGTGTGAAATAAGTCTCTTATTAAAAGAGCAGGTGAGGAGATGCTGAAATGCTGAAGTAGCCAAGGAAGATGATTGTAAAAAAGGGTGCTATCTAGTGATTTTAGCTTACTCTGTTGCTGTAGAGTTTGGCTGAATGGTGGTGGGGAGGGGGCCTACAGTTCTGAAGAATTGAGCTGTTATGAACTGCAACGGAGCCGCTTCTGGAGGTCCTTGCTGGGCTGTAGAACAAACCCCACGGGAGCTCCTGCGGGCTGTGGATACGTAACTGTGCTAAAACAAAACTCAAGATACTTAAGTTATGTAAGACTGCTTTTAAAAACCATTATAATAATGTCAAATATGCATTGCTACACTGGAAGTAATTCAGAATTAGTTCGGAAATGCAACTGTAAACATCTGTTATTGCTCATTACAGGAGGTACCTTCTGTCACCTTACTATTCATATATTACCTGGAATTTGTCTTCCAAGCAGGATTATTTACATAACTGATTGAGGATAGGCTTTTTTCCCTTCTCTTTATTACAGTGACAATTGCTCCTTTTTTTGCATTACCACCTTTCTTTCCAACAGCAATTTAGAGATGATACATAAAAATCTATGGACACTAATTCAAGGGCTGTTGGTGGGGATGAGTGAAACAGGGAGGTGTCAATACGTGTGTGTGGGAAGGTATAGCAAGCTTCTTATAACTTAAGGCCCAACACTGAATTAATTATATGTGTTTGTTTTAGACCAGGGAGACGAGCCGTTTGCCACACCGTGGTGTTACAGAAGCGTCTGTTAGATGCTTAGATGGGTTTGGTTCTTCTGGGGCTTAGATTCTGTAGTGCCTGCCTGGCTGCTGCTCCGCTCTGCCTGCCGGGGAAGGAGGCAGAGGGCTTTTTCTTGGCTTTGTGTCTCCTGCTGCCTCAGCCTGTGGTATGTCAGGAATCTCACATAAGGTGAAACAGACACGTGGGATCACGCGAGCGTTTCTGGGGCTGGAGAGGTGTTTTTCCACTCCCGGTCCAACTGCTGGCACTGCCTGCACCTGATGAGCTGTGTCTCAACCACTTAGTCTGTCCCTGGGCCAAAGCCACACGATGAGGTCACCTGCTTTCCTACAGGCCCACGGTGGCACTACCTGCCCTTGTGGAGATGCAGCTTCTGTGTCCTCCCAAACCTCAGGGAGTTCTGCCCCGAGCGCACTCCCCCTGGCATAACCCCTGTATTTTAACAATTTGCAGCAGGGGATGGCTTCCTTTTCTGTTACTCAACAATTCTGCTGTTGCAGGCAGCGAGAGTCAGCCCCATCAGCTCAGCTTAGGAGCGTTCATCTTTGAGTGCCAGGAGTTTTTCAAGTGATCTGCAAGAAGCTGAGAATGCTGTCAGAAGGTGGGGAAAGGAGGAACAGTGGTATTTGCTGTAAAGCAAAAAAAAAAGTCAGCTGCCTACATAATCAGTAGGAATGCATGTATTTTAACAGCCTCTAAGGTGAAGTAAACATCTAAGATTGGGGGAACTAAGGACAAAATTGCAATATTGTGTTTCATATTTACTTAGTGGGGCGCTAGGTGGTGAGAGAGAGAGGGGAAGCGTGGGTTTCTCCAAGGAGAGAGCAGCTCTGAGGTGTGTAGGTAGCGCTCAGCCTTGCCATTTGATGGTGCGCTCCAGGGAGCTAACAGCGGTGTCACTGAACTGCTCTGTGGTCTGCCTGCCTTTTCAACTGAAATTAATGCTACCAAAAAACTTAAAACACAGAGAGGTGTTTTTATTTACCCAACTGGCCACCTGAACAGTTAGCTGCATATGGTATAGAACCTTCTTTTAAAAAACAGCATCATCAATTAGTGATTTGTTATCTAGAACTACGCACCCCCAAATCCTGGCAGGTTTCTTGGCTGTAGGAATAAATCTGACCCCAAATCCTGGCATGTTTCTTAACTGTAGGAATAAATCTGACATTCAAAGCAAGGACTGTTAAGAAGCAGAGAGATATCTGTTTTTTACTTAAAGGATGGAGAGAGAAAGGAGCAGTATTTTCTTCTGCATTGCAGGAGTCACCTCTTAAATACAAGGCCCACTCAATCCGAGGGGGTTCAGACCTTTACTCCCACCTCCCAGAGAAGCTGCCAGGGGGACAGCCACCCGGGGGACAGCCAAGCAAGCCAGCTGCCTTCCCAGGAGGAAGAGCTGGGTGAGGAGCAGTGTGGCTGTTCAGACAGGGTGGCAACCACCTCCACTGGTGCCAGACCCAGAGTTTGCAGGTTTCCTCGGGCTGCTGAGCCAGGACGGGCAGCCCAGCCCAGCAGGGTGACTGCTTCACCCGGCAAACTCCTGGAAATACCAACAGGTGACCCAGGAACTGTGATTTGTTTCACCAGGTTATTTTGACTATTTTAAATCAAAGCCTTGATGATGTCAGTTGAGGCACAGACTCCTGTTTGACCTGTGTGCTCCCTCTTTCACAGAGCAGGAGCTTAGCTGGAAAGAGAGTGATGGTAATTTCCTCCCCTCATGGCTTTGGGGGAGCAGCGGGATGGGGAGTGGAAAGAAGAATGTATGAAGTTTGAAATCCCCCAAGTGACCAACCAAGTGTTAAGCGTTGCTTAAGTGTCTTTATGGGACACCTGCTGTGGCAAATGTTGGCTTGAAATTCACTTGTCAAACTAAAGTTTAGTATATTTTATTATATTTCAATGTATTTCCATTAGAAATTGCTACGACCAATTAATACATTAAAGAGAGCAATTGCCAGGAATCAAAGAAAACTGAAGATATTTATTAGCCAAGGACACAGCCTTTTAGCTCAAATATCATTATATTAATATTGAAAAGCCTCCTTTCTCAACTCAATTCTGACAGCTAAGCCAGGAAACTCATTGTGTCGGGACTGTGCTCCTAAGACAGCGTGAGACACTATTTGGAGAGGTAAAAGAAGAAATACTTAGTTTAAAAAAAAAAAAGGCTCTGTAGGCTAAACTAGGTCAAAAATGGGGCCAGTAACATACTGAGGCCAAGCATAATGCTCTCTGGAGAAAATAAGAGGTAGATTCTTGGTGTTGATCATGCTACAACAATCGTCCCTCATCTATCAAAGCAGTGGCTCCAGGCCACCAGTTTGAGCCCAGCCGTACCACCACGGTGTAGGCAGCTCTAACTAATCAAAGGCAGCTTTTTATTGGGGAAAAAAGGGTTATAGACCTCGCTGAATACAGAGGAAAAGTGACAGAGCTTTGGGCGTTTGGCAAGTGTTAGTGCACTGTAACAAACCCACCCAGATAGTACAGAAACTTAAGAAATGAACCATCCCAGAGATGACGCAGTTAATTCTTTTGCTTTTTGTTTTTCCAAATCCTCAGAAGCGCAGCACTGCCCTCTTGTGGTAACAAAGGAGAACAATTCATAACAGTATTTTTAATTTAATGTTTAACTTCCAGTATTCATTATAAATACTTACAGACTCAAAAGAAATCCACATCAGAAAATGAGGAGAACAATTATTAGACTCATAATAAAACAGCTTGCTTCCTATAGTATTATAGGGTTTAAAAAGGTTTCTGTTTTTTTTAAACTAGTGTCACAAAATGCTTCCATTTGTAAGGACCCACCATGGTCTGTTTTCTTTTTTTGAAAAGGCACTAAATCCCTAAGCAGTTCAGAAGTCATTAGGAAACCAAAGAGAAATGCTCTCACCCACATACTCAAATATATATATATATATTTATGAACAACTTTCTACATGGGGACTTAAAGAAAAGTTTAATGGTGGAGGTTGAAAAGAGCATCAAAAACAAGACATGGGCTCTGGAGCTGTGCCTAAGGCAGTCACACGCAGACAGACAGACAGACACCAACTGACCAGGGAGCACACACATACTGACTGACTACAGGGAAGGAGGCCACTTCCACGTGAGAAAACCCATCTCACTCCCTTAACAGGGAAGCAATAAAACATGCACATAAAACAAACAAACAAATTTGGCCAAAACTTAAATATTCAGAGTTAGTTCTCAGGTTTCTTAGTGTTTTGTTTCCACATCTGTCCTCCCACAATGGCAAAGTACTGCTGAGTCTTCGTACGCAAACAGCAAAAGCCATGATGAGCAAGTGCCACTCTGCTGCAGAAACTGGCAAGTTGTTGGCAGTAAACATCAATCTTCTCTTCAGGAGTCACCTCTCTTTATCCAACCTGCCACTAAAGACAAAACCAACAAAATGCACCACGGGTTTGTATAAAGCTAGGGGAAAAAAACAACAAAAAACAAACCAACAACAAAACCACTACAAGGTTGTCTAAAGAACAAACTCTCTGTTATAACACCTTTTATATCCAGCAAGCGAGGGACATGCAGCCCATCAGCAGCAGCTCATACAAACTGCCTCCTTCAACTAGCAATGAAGGAAAGAGATGAAGGCTTAGGGAGCCTGTTTCAACAACCAGATGCATTTATTGCCTTAGAGAGATTCCAATTCTTAATTGCATCTCTCTCTGGCCTTCTGAGACAAAGCTTGCATTAGAGAAGCACTAGTAGTAGCACTGAAGTTCATCAGTATCTATGCCAACACTCTAAGTTTCTTTCGTAGAGAGATAGATACCTGAAACCCAAAGCAATTACCCTACTTAGTCTCTCTTCCTGCAGAGTTTATAAAAAAATGTCTGAACTATCTCAACCAGCAGTGAAAAGGGACGCCGAGAACAGGTCAACCCAGCGAGGAGGTCCCCAGGGCCACGAGCAGTGTAAAACTGACACATCGTAGATGCAGAAACCAGGGAGAAAGGGAGGGAAAAATAGCTCTCTGCCATCCTTGCTGTCTTTTTGTCCCAGAAATGAAGCCTCATTAAGAACCCTGTGTGACAACAACACATTCTTCCATTTCCCCCCTTCTTGCTTTTTCCCCAAGGTAGTCGATCTTGTAGATGACAACAAAACGGGATTTTCCCAGTAAATACAAGGACGCTTTTATCATGTTGTTTCTTTTTTAAACTTACTCTCAGTCCTCCTTCTCCTCCAGAACCCGAAGCTGCAAGTCTCTTCTCCATTTCTTCCTGTTTCTTTTTCTTTTGCTCTACGGAGTAAGCGTTCTTAATGCCTCGAGAGGAAGCCTGGGAGAAAACACTTTTGGGTAAGGCCAGTTCGCTATTTTTCTGGATAAACAACACCATTTTGTGAACTCTGGTTTGCGAGAAAAGAGTGAAACATTAAGTAATGCTACTATTACACAAGCCCAGACCTTTCAGGATACTACTTCATACTGTCAGCTCTTGGTCCATAAGTATGTGAAGGTGGTTTTGTTTTATATTGTTATTTCATCCAGGTGAGCATATTTAATGCAATTACACGTACCTGCTTTGCATCTTAAGATGGAGAACCAAAACTTCCCTAAAGTCCCATAAAATGTTAGTCTGTTGATTTTTTTTTTTTTATTTCTATTTTTTTTTTTTCCCAGTGTCAGGGCCTATTCTTGCCCTCACAAACAGAACTGGGAGGAGACAATTCGGGCAGATAGAACTTCAAAGAACTTTAGCTGTTTCACCATCCATTCATTTCTTCTGACTCTTTTTATCAAAAGGCTACTGAGAGATAGGACACAGATGATGGAAATCATAATGACAGCTTCTATTCCAACACTCAATAAGCTGACAAAGTCACAAGCTCTGTATAGCTACTGAAAAAAACAAACAAATAAAATAAATCGATGGGAATTTTACAGGCAGGGGAGAGGGAAAGGTCATGTGAGCAGTGCTGGCCCAGGCTGTCAGATGGCAGGAATATCAGAACTAGAGCCAAGCAGTTAGCACTGTAAACTTAGAAAATATTTTAAAAACTGATTCTTAGATAAGTTTAGAGTTACAACACTCCAGCATGAGCTATGCAAAAAGATGTTAAAATCTACCAAGGGAAAACAGCGATGCTCTCACCTAAAATTCAGGGCCCTGATGACAAGCACAATTCTCAACAGGCTACTAAGGCAAATCTTACCAACAAATACTAACTAACTTAGACCCCATGATTTCTTGCTTTTAGACAACTGGCCTTCCAAGTGAATTAGCAACGTGGACTGTCTCTACAGCACCCCAAAAGGAAGAACACCTCACACGACTTCAGGCTGAATAAAGAGCAGTTAAGCATGTAAAGGAAAACACCAAGCTGGGATGGACAGCTGAGCTACTCGCTTGTCCCTCACGAGAGGGGAACTGAATTAGGCTCCTTGCAAGACATCTCCATTACCTAACACTCAGAAGCTAAAAGTCTCTCAAAGATAGTTCTGAAAAATCCTGGTATATGTTTCATCTACAAAACAAAGAAGTAACAGTGTGTTATACTTCCTTTTTTTTTCTAACATCTTAACAGCCACCATAGAACTTCAAAGCCATCTATAACCCAAATTGCTTCATTTCTCCTTCCTCCCAGGAAAGCTTTTTAGCAATTTACGAGCTAGATGGGGACATCCCCCTTGCACATGCTTCTCAAAAGTATGTTTCCTACAGTTATGCTTAAAAAACCCTTTGCAACTTAAGATTACACGTGGATTGCTTTTACTTTGTAGTCTCACACAAAATCAAGAGTTTTTAAAGGAATCTGAAGCATCACTCAGTTGTTGCTCCAATTATTCACTGAACTCCTTAAAACCAGGTCAACATGGTCCTCATCAATAATGGTCAATTTTTAATTCAGTGTATAACGTCACTAACATTCATACAAACAACACATTCCCCTCTCTCCACAGTTCAGCTGTGGGCTCCAAGATAGACTTCTTATTTATTGTAGATTTTGCATGGTGTATGTTATAAGCCTTTTTTGAGAAATATGGATAAAAAGAAATAGGCTGGCTAGTTCTACATTCTGCTAGGACATTTGCACCCTCCCTCTTCTAACTTTAGGGATATTTACGTAGTTAAAGCTTAGAAAACTTAAAAGAGTATGTTAACATTACTTCTTTGCTCAATTGTTGCTTCATTGATAAACTGAACTTGCAAGTGCAGTACCACTTGAATTTGCCACCACAACAATTGTTTGCCAAATCTGGTTTGAAATATTTCTCCATCTTTTATTTTCAAGTCTTATAAGGGGCAAAAAATAATATTGAGCATGCTCTTAAATTTTTAGGTTGTTTTGTAACTACTGCAAAACTTCTCCCTTCCAAACAAGCTGTTAAGTCGCAATGGTCTTTCGGCACTTACTTAGCTCTGAAACTCTACTGTAAAGAGATATTAAAAAATGGTATAAAATATTAATAATACTATGAAAGCATTTAATGACAATTCCCACAATCCAGGCACAATATCCAATGTTCCCATGGAAGGCCTAGCTATTTTTCCCATAAACTAGTTACGACAATATCATTTGGATAAATGGTATTTTATCAGACGTTACCTCCATCTGCCTCCTTTCAGCAGCTTCTGCTAGCTGTCTTCTTTTTATTTCCTAAATAAAAAGTGAAAGACAGTGAAATTCTATTCCAATGAAGTCTGTACATTCGTTTGAAGGTCTTAATTTTTAAATATGACTCAAATCTGTAATGCAAACTGCCACAAAATGCCAACCTTAAGTCAATTAGCATCATCTTTCCCTCTTTTGCCAGTCTGCAAGAACAAAGTGGTTTTAGTGACTAAGATGCTAAAAGAGCAGCTGCTGACATATCTAGTCAAACCCCACCAGAAGTCTGTATTCAGCTGTCTGTGTGACGCCTTCACTCCAAAAAATTCAGACTGGAATGAGAAGGCATGCAGTATGTGAAATGTCCTTTTGGAGCCTGAAAAAGGGAGAGCCCGCTTTTCCAGGCTGAGTGGGCTCCTTGTCTTCTCCCCCATAACATCCTCAGATGAGGGGTATCAAAGCATGGAGATGGGTTCCTCCCCATGTAGGAGAAACTTCATCCTATGCAGGCTACTTAGAGAAGTGAGCAGCACTGTGCACTAGAGAGAAAAGCACAGTTTTCACAAAAATCATAGAATAGTTTGGGTTGGAAGGGGACCTTAAAGATCATCTGCCACGGGCAGGGCCACCTTCCGCTAGACCAGGTTGCTCTAAGCCCCATCCAACCTGGGCTGTTGTGCTGAAGTGTTAACCGCTTCCAAGGATGGGGCATCCACAACTTCTCTGGGCGACCTGTGCCAATGTTTCACCACTCTCACAGTACAGAATTTCTTCCCAAGATCTCATCTAAACCTCCCCTCTTTAAGTTTAAAACCGTCACCCCTTGTTCTCTTGCTCCACTCCCTCATAAAGAGTCCCTCCCCTGCTTTCCTGTAGGCCCTCTTTAGGTACTGCAAAGGGCTATAAGGTCTCCCCGGAGCCTTCTCCAGGCTGAACAACCCCAACTCTCTCAGCCTGTCTTCACAGGAGAGAGACCCTCCAGCATCTTCGTGACCCTCCAATGGTTCCACATCGTTCTCATGTTGGAGTCCCCAGAGCTGGAGGCAGCACCGCAGCTGGGGTCCCACCAAAGCAGAGCAGAGGGGCAGAACCACCTCCCTCACCCCGCTGCTTTGGATGCAGCCCAGGATGTGGCTGGCTTTTTGGGCTGCGAGCGCTGTTTTTCCCGTGTCTAGTTAAAACGGAGGGTCATCTCAGCATCTTAGCACAAACCCCCTTCACGGGAGACACCCCCCTCCCCACACTCTCGGCACCAGAGGAGGTCGCGGGGTGCCAGGCCCCAGGCTGAGGGGCGCCGGCTCCCCCCTCCCCAGGCCGGGCAGCCGAAGGACGGTGCTCCCCGGCCCAGCCGCTTCCCTCAGGCCTCTCCCCCAAGGCCGCGGCGGAGCCCCGGCCTCCATTTTAAGGCAGGCGGCCCGTTCTCTCTCCCCCACACCCCCTCCAGAGGGACGGTGCTCCCCGCGCTCGTCCCGCTGCCGCGGAGCGTCAGTGCCTGCCCACAAACAACCGGGCGGGAGGAGGGGAAAAAGGAAGGAAGGAAGGAAGGAAGGAGGGAGGAAGGGAAAGCGGCCCCGGCCCCGCACTCACCGGGTCGGGCGTCTCCACCACGTCCTTGACGGCGCCCCCCATGCAGGGCAGGCACAGCCCCATGGCGGGCCCCACCAACGGCAGGGCCGGCCGCCGCTGTGGCCGGGCTGAGGGCCGGCGGGGCGCAGGGTTCGGCGCTAGTTTTCCCCCGGCATTAAGCTAGATTAGTTTAATTCCCTTAGGGCAAAAGGGGCACTGGTCCAGTCCATGCCCAGCTCGCTCCGGTGAGGCGGGCGGGGGGATTGGGAGCCCCCTGGAAGCGGCAGTGAGACCCTCCGTGCCCTGAGGCGGTGCTGCCATCCGCCGGCGGCGGCGGGAGGCCGGGGCTGCAGGCCGGCAGCGGGGCCCTCACGGCAAGGTCTCGCCCCCCCCTCGCGTTTGAAGCTCTAACACGGTTCTGGTGGTGTCTCTAAGAGCAGCTGCTGTGTCCTGGAGAATCACAGAATGGTCAGAGTTGGAAGGGACCTTAAAGATCATAAAGTTCCAGCGCCCCTGCCCTGGGCAGGGACACCTCCCACCAGACCAGGTTGCTCAAAGCCCCATCCAGCCTGGCCTTGAACCCCTCCAGGGATGGGGCAGCCACAGCTTCTCTGGGCAACCTGTTCCAGTGTCTCATCACCCTCACAGGAAAGAATTTCTTCCTGGTACCTAATCTAAATCTCCCCTATTCCAGTTTAAAGCCATTAACCGTTGTCCTGTCACTGCACTTCCTGACAAAGAGTCCCTCCCCAGCTCTCCTGTAGCTCCCTTCAGATATTGGAAGGCTGCTCTAAGGTCTCCCTGGAGCCTTCTCTAGGCTGAATATCCCCAACTCCCTTAGTTTGTCTTAATAGGAGAGCTGCTCCAGCCCTCTGATCATCCTCATGGCACCCCTCTGGACTCACTCCAACAGGTCCATGTCATTCTTATGTTGCCAGTACTGCAGGTGGGGTCTCGAACCCAAGAACAGCACACTTGCCCATGTGAAGGCATGTGGTGAGAACCATGGGGATGGCATGGACCTGTGCAGCCCATTCCAACACATATATCTGTCCCATCCAGCAGCTTTCAGCCTTTTTGACTCGTATGTGTAGCCGAGGAAAACATTATTCACATTTCTTTGCTATTCGTTTATGTTCATCCTGAGATGTATGTGATTTTTTATTTCCTATTTTAATATTCTTAGATGCTCATGTCATTTAGGCAGCTCCTGGTTTTAGATGGATTAATGCTTTATTTCACATTCAGTCTTTTGTCCTCTTTGAAACGGTTTGTTGTGCCTTACTAGCAGGAACTGCCATGCAAGAGTTTTGGTCCTTGCTGGCCTTCGTTAGTTTCCTCAATTTACTGATACCAAGTTTTCCAAAAATCTTTTCCTCATTTCTGGCTCTTCTGCTTCTCTTTCTTTCTCTTCAAATTTTGGCACGCTCTCTTCTAGTTATTTCTCTAGTAGGTACTCCAGCATTACCCAATTCAACATTTCCTGAATTTGAGTGTTGATGTGTACATCAACACTCCAAGGATTATGTTGATAATATGTATGCTAATAAACAATGCAACATCTACCCAGCTTCTTTCTTGCCTCTGTGATTTTGACCAAGGTGTATCTTTTTGTACCAGTGTTCTTGGCCTGCGATTTATTCCACAGGCCCATGATGTCCTACATTATTGTAAAGTACTAATTTAATTTCTTGTGTTTGTTCCCTGCAGCTATAATTAACCATCAGAGAGGGTTAAGGCATTGCTGAACCAAGTAGCCTACACGAGTCACAACGTGGTCCTGAGATTTCTGAACTGGGCCTACAAAAGTCTCATCGTCATCGTGGGAGATTAATCAGGCTTGTGGAAGGAGGAGCAGGAGGAGGCTGAGGTGCCACACATCCCTGGCTAATGAGGCTGAGATTGGCTGCAGGTGTGCACAAAAGCCTTACCACACACAGCTGGGCTGTGGCATGTTGTCCCAGGAGCTGCAGCCTGGTGTAGTGGGGTATGATTTAACTTTCTGCTCTGTAATAACAGTATTATTTTCCTTTTATTATTTTTAAAACATCAAGATGCTGTTGTTTTATGGTTATGTGGATTAAGTGCTTAGTGTTTGTCAAGCTTCGGGTTAGAACTGAGGGGTTCTCACTTTATTGCAGTCCCCTTTTTGATCCGTCAGATAACAGTCCCTGAGTGCAGCAGCTAAAAAATACCTTTTGCTGTATCTAAAAGGTGTAGGGGAAGATTGAAGCACACTTGGACAGAACTCTGCATAGGCAAGGAGCTCAGCTTGCTGGTAGTGTGAGCTGGTGGGACATGTAACTGAAAAGGTGAGTGGTTCAAGAAAAGCTTCAGTTCTTTAGAAGTTCCTGCATAAGGTATTCAGAGTGTTATTTATTGAGAAATAGCAGGAAACGTGGTAACAACTTCATGTTCGATAACAAAGGGCTTATAGGTTATCACTGAGGGTTTTCAAGGCTTATGTTTGTACTGCTGAAGTTGTAGGGATAACCTTTCGGGAAAGGCACCGAGTTTGAAATTGTTTAATAAACTGGTTCTTCTTGAGACTTCCTGGAATGATCTTAAAGAAGCTTTGTGTAATTTAAAATGAAATCAATAGGATATTTGTGTTAAGATACACTGATAACCAGTGATAGCTGGAAAATTAGATGAAATTACCCCCCAAGTGTGAATTTTTAGCTCTCTTATGAGCAAGGACCTAGCCTCGCTGTATTCTAAGACCCAGCTGAGGATTGATAAAGAGCGCAATGGCCTGGAACAGCTGATTCCCTGGGCTGGGTATGTGATAGCATTAGTAAAACACAGACCCGCCCTGCGGTTTTTGGCTGAATTCATCTGTGTTGCCTCAGGAAGCACATCTGAAAACATGCAATTAACTGTGTCTCTCTTTTTTTTTTTTTTTTCCTTAAGAGAGAGTCTCCTAATCCTTACCTCTCAAACTCTGCTTTTCTTTCTCCTGGAAGCTAACTCCTTGTGTTGGGTGGGAACAGTGCAGAGCATCCCTCTGTCCTCTGCCTGTAAAATAGCATGAAGCTCATCTTTCTAAACACAGCAGTGATCACTTGACAGAGTGAAGTGTGCTCTTCTCAATTATGGGTTGCTTTTTGATTAATTATGCGCTGAGTATTTCTTGATGCTGTGAGGTCAGAAATATTAATGCCTGGTAGTTCATTAGTAAATGGAGGATAGGGAGTTTTTTGTCGGGTTTTTTTGTCCACTTCCCCCACTCTACCAAATAATATTGTAGTGGAATAACATGTTAGTTATGTAATTAACACTTTCCTTAAAAAAAACCCCAAAACTTTCAGACTTAACACTGACATTAATAATAGTAGCACATTGCTTTTAAATGGTCTACTAGGCTAACCAATTTGATTTTTTTTTTATTCATGTGATAAATTGTGTTTAGTGAGTTTTGAATATACAATTTAACAAGAAATACGTATTTAAAATGTCAGTGGCCATTCTGCAGGTTTCTGGCAGCTCATTAGAACATCTGGCAATTTGTTACTGGTTCATTGGTAACAGTTTAGTTGTGGGGGCATTTGTGCAAGAATGGTATTGAATTCCATCTTAATCTGGCTTTTATCAATGTTGATTAGTCTCTAACTCTCTTATCTTCTCGAAATCCAGCAGGTGGTACTATTGACACAAAAATTTCCTGTGTTTCCCAAATGTATAACCACAGCTCCGATTTATTGTTTTGTTTTGATATTACAGGCAGTGTGGCTTTGAATAGGAATGCAGATGCTGCTTTCTGCTCGGCTTCTGGAAATGTCAGAAGGCTTTTACAATAACCAACAGGGACTGCGGGGGCAGGAGGGGAAGGGGAAGGGCAGTTTTTACCCTGCAGTATTGTGCATGCAGGATAACGCAGGTACAAGAGAAATTGCTTTAAGAACCCTGACCAAGTGACTCACAGGTTCATGACTTTCACTTCCAGGGTGAAAATTAGCCTTTACATGTCCTCATTCTGCCTCATAAATGTCTTTTTCAATACCTGCGACTTCTGAAACAGTTCATGTTGTTACGCTGCTACAAAAGAGAATCTAACGATTATGAGGTCTAAAGGGGCACAACAATTGTAGGGCTGATCTTTGAATGTGGGAACTTAATGATAATGGAGGATTCCTGTTGTTATTGCACAGAAACCTAGAGAGAGACTCTGATTGATAGTTTAGCAAGTTATCATGCTCATTTAATTATTTAAAAAGACAACTTATTGCCAGTTAAATTATAGTTGGGAATTAACTCTGGAATGTTTAGTTACACATCATACCTCTCTTCCAACTAATAGAAATATTCATTTGCATTTTAAACTTTACGACTCTTTCTTCAAGAAAAGGCCGGTGACTCAATGGTAAGTGTGGTTTGGGAATCAGCAGCACTTGCTTTCACCGTAGGAAGCTTTTAAAGCAGCAAAGACATGGAGCCTTTTCCAGGAACAGCTTAGTGCCGGGCTGTCTACTGGAAAAGTAATTGCGGCGTCTGTGGACATTTATATAAGTCTTTCTGACCCTGATATGTTACTTTATCGTCATTAGCCATCAGTTTAAATATCAATAGGGAAGGACTGAAGTTAATCAATACAAAGGCTGTCACTGATTTCCGAGGGAGCAGGCGCAGTCCTGACGGGCGGTGATGTGCAGCGGGTGTCTGTCAGGTTTGGTTAGCAACCCTCCAGGTCTGATGCTCTCCCCAGCAGTTCTACGAAGTCAGTTCCACTTATTTCTTCTCTGGCTGTATTGTTGCATGCCACCATCCTCTCAGACTAGCGAATTAAAGGGGAAAATCAATTTCTGGTTGTAGAAGAGTTCTTATCTCTGTGTAAATGCCAGCTGCAATACAGGGGAACACGCTTATGGAGTCCTGTCTGTTACAGAACAGCAAGTTGGGGTGGAAGGGAGCATTTCCACCTCTGTCCTGTCCTCTTCAGGGTCATTCATGTGCTCTATAAAATATGTATAATCCAGCCAATAAGTGGTTAGCTGCAAGAAATAGGTGGACTGTCTTTCTCCGTAGTTAGGTTGAACATATTGAGGTTGGCAATGGTGCTGGTTTTAGATCCTCAGCTGGCTTCTCCCTTCTTGGGGGGATTCAAGAACAGCCACGTGTGTAAAGCCTTCTGTCCAAGTTACT